GAACTCACCAATTTATATAAGTTTAGCCGATTTTGCACGGAATAAATATACGATTTATAAAAGTAAGTGTCGCCGAGCAGCCAGAACCGATCGAAGCTATGAGCTTTATTTGTGGCAAGCATTTGACGCCAAAATTTTTTGCTAAGCTAATCTCAGTCCAAAAAAAGATCGCTATAGGGAATCATTTGATAAGGATTGAACTTAGAAACAATTGCTTGCAATACTAACTTGCTAACTGTTGCTTGGAGGTTGAAGACTTTAGCCACGTTTTGTTGGTTGGAGGATAAGTCACAGTCTAGATAGGTTGTTCAAGCGTCACCGATAATAAATAAATAGATAAAAACAGCAGGTTACCCTTAAAGGCAGCTGAATGGCCTTATGTAAGACTCTAAGTTTGTTGACACTTATTTCCATAAATTTATTCCGCTAAATTTTCTGATTCAAACAAAGGAGAAACATCTTTCTTTGAATGACCAATATAATATTTATGAAATGAAGAATAACCGTTTTGAATAAATATCTGTAAAACATCCTAGATAAACGTTTCTCAACAGGGGTTTCCTGGAATTCTAAGGTTCCGCAAAAGGTCCCCAAGGGTTCCGCCAGAACAGGTGAGATAAGCTAATGCACTTTTGACGTTTTATTTAATTTCATTTTCGTAATATTATTAGACACACGAAATATATTCTTGGCTATTGTAATATAGACATCATCCTATTTAACTTATTGTTGAGGGGTCCACTTATTATTTATACAAATGGACTCATCCAGTGTATACTTATACTACTGCCAGTGAATACCCGAAGGGTCGAGTCGAGTTCAGAGTGACAGATTAAAAGGTTGTAGGTAACCGGAAGAGTGAGGGAGAGGTAACAGCGTTGTAGGAGTCACAGTGAGCTTTCACGTAGACTCAGTAAGAAGTCATACAACGATACTTCAATACCAAAGACTGTATATATATATTTGCTACTAACCTGTATTCCTGGAACTACTAACCTGCTTTACCAGTTTGTATTATTACGTTAATACATTATTTTCATATATTCATTCCTGGCGTTTGTTATTTATTTATACCGGATTTCAACCCGGAATCCACAACACTTATTATGTTATTAAAAAATATAACAATCATTGGGAATATATTATATATTTAATGATGTCTGTACGCTGCCAGTGGGAACCAACCTTCACTAGTCAGTGTCCACTCAGCGAACAGGACTTGTACTTAAAGTTACTTATTTCTTTGTTTTGTCTTTAATCTTACAGAAATACCTAATCACGCAATGTGGCGATTTTTGAAGAGGAAACATTCGGAAGATATGGTATATAATTTTGTTTTTGCGCAGGGGTTCCTTGAGACATGTAATTTATTTTAAGGGTTACGCAAGGGTAAAAAAGTTGAGAAACGTTGTCCTAGATTAATAAAAGCCGCCCATTCTTTTTTATCAATTCACCCCAAGCAAGGCGATAATGCCACTAAGAATCTATTGGGAGTGAAAGAAAATGGAAAGAGAACCGGAAGCCCAATCCTAAACAGGAAACAAGGGATAAACCTCTACTTTTGTTCAATATACTGGGGAGGTGTGTGAACTGGACGATAAGCGAACCTATTTACTCCTGTTAAATTAATAAATGCTAATAATTTAAATTTGTTTTGTGTCATGCATAAGTGAAAGCGGTAAAGAAATTTTGCACAAGCGAATTTTTTTTTATGTAAATCTATTTGTAACAATACAGAATATTTGGCCGTTAGCAAGAGAGACAGGCTAGGATGTGAGTTTTGTAATGGAGGCGCTAATATCAAGCTGATTCAGAAAATTAACGATCTGGCAAGTGTTATATTAGACGACGTAAATTGAAACACAGAAATCGGAAGGTATATTAAAATAATGAAAGATGCCTTCCAAAAGCAAAAACAAAGTATTAAGAAAGAAGAAAAATTCGTTAGCAGCGTTATCAACTGTTATGTAATTAGATTATTTACATTATTCGGACTGTTGTCCTCATCTTCATTGCAATATTCACAACGTTTCAGTCGTTGTACGCTCTGGCCTTCTTCAGGTGATTAGAATTTCGGATCGAACCCTTTATTTCATCCAACGGGGTAGATTGTTCTAGTTCTATGTGCCATGCCTCTTCCGGATGTCTCACTTATTTCCATTTAACTCAACTTTATAAGTTATTGATTCACCACTTCTGTAGCTTGGTACTGAACACAAAACTCTTTGGGTCTAGTCACTGGATCTAACTAACACCTTTTATCCATTGGGCTATGTGTCCTTGAGGAATGTGAATATGGCAATGAAGATGAGGATAACAGTCCGAATAATGTAAATAATGTAAGTAATCATAATACCTCATCTCAGAGATATAGAGAGATATCAACCCTCTTATATGGCAATATATGCGGAACAATTGAAGAGGAAACTTGAGGTAACAAAGATCTAGTTCTAAAGAAGAATGCTGAGAATATCATGAATGGAATATGTGAGCAACGAGAAAGTTTTAAGGAAAATTGGAACAAAAAAGCCACTTGTTCTTAGATTCAGAAAGAGATAGTTGATATTTCTGGAACACATAATGATGAAAAATGGCTTGGAAAATTTGACATTCACAGGACATATTGAAAGTAAGCGAAACAGTGAGTAAGCTGCCTGAATGAGCTTGTGTAAATATGGACTAGGAGAGATAGTAAAGGTATTACTTAGGGCTACGAACCATAGGAAATTGTGGAGAGCCATGATTTCCCACATCCTGAAGAGTCACGGCATATAAAAAGGGAGTATAAAGCAGACTTTAGTAAAAGGTGATGTCCATATAGCACTCATTGAAGAATAAAAATGCTCACAAGAGTGCAAGTGTAGCATGATAAACATTGATCTACAAAAGATGCTCAGTTTAAATATTGTTATCAAATCATTTAAATTGTCAAATTGTTCTTCTGGTTACTTAAAAACTTCAAAAGATCGAGTGACAGAAAACTAGTGATGCAAGCTGTTGCTGGTAAATTCGTAGATGCTATTATAATAGTGGCCTTGTGTCTACTTAGAATATGTAAATAAAGTTTTAACTTTTAACCTCTTGAAGATGCAGTTTGATCTCGTTTGTAAAGTGTATTACGAATCGCGTGATAGAATTTCAAGAAATTATGTTCCGATGTATACATGCAAAAAGTTAATTACTAAAATATGACACTCTCAATCAGCCTATTTTCTAAAGTTTTATCCATTAGGCTACATTGTAATTCTCGCAAGATCCCAGTTATGAATGGAAATCATGATTGCCAAATTAGGATAAAAGCAATGAATATGCTTACTAATTACTACTGATTATGTTTAGGGGCATATCAATCTCAATGGGTTATTTAATGCCGAAATCTTAATATTTTGTACGTAATTTTATACTTTCAGGGCAAATATGTTTTTTTAGATATATAGTTTGTTCAATATAAAATGTTTGTTGGCAATTTTTTTATGTATTGTTGGTAATTTCACTATAAAAATGTATTGCTGGTATTTTTTATAAAAATGTATTGCTGATAATTTTACTATAAAAATGTATTTTTATACTTTTTTTTTAGTGTTGTATTGATTATCATTTTGCAATAAAAAAATCTATTGTTGGTCATTTTACTATAAAAATGTATTGTTGATTTTTGTTTGGGGGTCCACTATTTGTTCACAGCTGGGACCCTAACAGGTGCTACTACCTCGGGCTAGGATGTACATGGGAACAATACCAATTAAGAGGTGGTTCTACGGCTCTCAAACGCTCCAATCTCCAGATCAAAAGCCTTGCTGCCGGATGTAGTTTATCGTCTTTCCCAGGACAAGCTTATATTTGAAAGGCCAGCATTATTAAATTGTCAATTGACTTCCTTCTTCAAAAGTTACTAGTAATGTGTGGCTTTTAAAGGCTGTGTGTTGGTGTATGATAGATGTGTGCGTGTTCACATGTAAACAATTGAAGACGAAGCATACACAGGCTTGGGTTTCTCCTCCAGATCATTTATTTTTTTTTTTTAATATAAACTGTAGAAAAACAAAGTTCACAATGTCTCTTGGGTATTTCTGTTTTCTTTTTGGTTCAGAAGTTAGAGGTAAAGATAAGCGTTATAATGGTCGAGCTCAAGTCAGTCTTGACAAAAGAAAAATTTGTACTTACTTTATCATTGGAGGGTCGACATGGATATAATTGTCGAGCTCAAGTAAGCCTTGCGCTGAGTTGGAACAGCCAAAGGTTGATTTATTTCATAGGTGGTGGTTTGGGAAGACACGTGCGAACGCTATGCGTTGGAAAGTAGGAAGAGAGTTCAGTACGTCCTTTTCGAAGGAGTACTACATCATGGAGCAAGAGGATGAAAGAGAGAGATAGTGGAAGGCAATGCTTGTCTTTTATAAACTTAAAAGCGTCACCTAACGAGCGTTTGATGAATCTAAGCGGAGTAATAAAATGTCCGGTTCCTTTATTTCTAGCCTCATGGGAAAATAAATATTTTTCTTTTTTATTATTCATTATTATTATTTGATTTATTGATTTTATCTCATTTTTCCCACAAGCGAAATTCAAAATTTACTCGCAATACGCTTTCAAATGAAAACGAACCTAACAATCTCGATGAAAATACAATCAATTACTTCAGATTTGCGTGGCACCTTGGTGCGTTAGGTAAAGGTCAGTGAGCTTGTCTGGTTGATTAAGAATTCGATCCGTACTGGGCGCCCAAATATATTAGATATTTGCAAGATTATATTGAGAAATTTTCTTCATAATCGTTTTGTTTATTTTTTTGTTTGAATTTCTGGGATGAGTAGTTATAATTATGTACATTATTTATACACAGACTATTGTTCTCATCTTTGTCTTTATTCCAAAGTTTCAGCCCTCATCAGGTGCTTGCCTGAAATGTTATGATTATAACAACAAAGATGAAGACAATAGTCTGCCTGTAAATGTAAATAATCGTTACGTTTGCTCACTTTACCATTCAATTTTAAGGCTTACGGCCACATCGTGTTGAAACATCGGTTCCCGTACGATCACGGAAGTTAAGTAACATCGAGCCTGGTCAGTAACTAGATGGGTGACCACTTGAGAATACTAGGTGTTGTAAGCTTGGGTGGTGTGATGAATAATATTTCGGAATTGTTAATCGGAGTGTCGAGTTCCATTTTCAGTTGGTTCGTTATATTTCCTTATGCGCAAATAGCCTTGGGAAAGGTATAAATCCTCCACCTCTTCTTTCCCAGCTATGGGTTAATTAGTAATACTTGTATCCCGAAATTAGTATTATCTTTAAAAAAATCTTCTTGTAATGTAAAAAATATTTTCTGGCTTTAAATAACCTGAAAGTTGTTGGAAACGAATAAGTCAATAAAAAATAAATTTTTACTTGTTTCGTTCTCGCTTACATTCTCTTTTTTTATTTAGTGCTATTTTGCTTTCTTTTTCTTCCAATATTCTTCTGTTCATTTGTTTCTTTGATTATTCCTCGTTCTTTCTTTCTTTCTTTCTTTCTTTCTTTCTTTCTTTCCTTTCACACTTATCGTTTTTTTTTTCACATTCTTTCGTTTAGTCATTCGTTATTTCATTCTTTTTCTCCGGTGTTCTGTTTCAATTTCCTCTTTCTTAAAATTTGTTTTATACACTATTTTCCGTACTTCCTGTTCTTCCTTTCTCGGGGAACGGCAGGATCATTTCAGATCCAGCAAATCTCTTTGCAACATTGGTTTCCTAATACCGGCCATTCATTTGCATATTGTCCACGCACCAACCCAGACCTTATTTACCACTCTCGCTATTTCTCATAAACCGGAAACCCTTTTCTCTGACAGCCAGTATAATTGGATAAGAAAACATATTCCACATATCAGTTATAGCTTGATCCTATAACCACGAAGTATGTCTGGGACAGATATACATATATCTAGAGATATTTACTCAGTTTAGCTAATCGGGACGAGACGAATCGGGTTTGGTATGGGTAATGATGGTAACTAAAAGTTTTGTAATTGGAGAGGTCCAGGTAGCATGTTTTTGAAAGTTATTCAAAGTTTGGAATTTTTCCTCAACTAGAACAAAGGCCATTGGCATCAGTGGGAAATACGCAACGACATTAGCCAACAAGCAAGACACACACACACACACACACGCACACACACACACACATATATATATATATATAGATATATATACATATATATATATATATATATATATATATATAATATATATATATATATATATAGTATATATATATATATATATATATATATATATATATATATATATATATATATATATATATATATATTAGTGAATATATATATATATTAGTGAATATATATATATATATATATATATATATATATATATATATATATATATATTAGTGAAAGACAAACACGAACACAATAAACGTTATAAACCAAGAAGCCAAAAATATAGCCACTAAATTGAATATAGATGGAAGAGTAAACAAACTAGCTGAGCAACACGCTTTCATCACGGCAAAGGACCACAAAACCAACTTCGTAGAAAAACCCACATTCAGACTAATTAACCCGGCGAAGAGTGAGATAGGGAAAATTAGTAAAAAAATACTAGAAAATATCAACACCAGCCTAAGAGAAAAATTAGGTCTCAACCAGTGGAAGACCACCAAAGCCGTCATAGAGTGGTTTAAAACGATAGACAACAAGAACAATCCACTTTCATCCAATTTGACATTGTGGATTTTTATCCTTCCTTTACAGAAAGCATATTAAATGAAGCTATACAACTGGCACAACTAAATGTAAATCTCACGGACGGAGATAGAAAAAATAATCAAACATTGCCGCAAATCCCTGCTGTTCCACAATAATGAACCATGGGCAAAAAAACAAAACTGCAACCTGTTTGACGTAACAATGGGTAGCTACGATGGAGTAAATTTGCGCATTAGTAGGCATACTCACCCTATCATACCTGGCCAGAATCCTGGAGAGAAAGGACACAAGATTATACAGAGATGACGGTCTTATCTTAATAAGGGAATACAATGGCCCCAAATTAGACAAATTCAGGAAGAAAATAGTGAACGCCCTAAAAAATATTGGATTCAAAATAGAGATAAATGCAGACAAAACAACAGTAAACTTCCTTGACGTCACTCTTAACCTGATCAACAACACATATGAACCATACAAAAAAGAAAATGACACGTCAACTTACGTACACACATCCTCCAACCATCCACCTTCTATCATCAAACAAATACCAAAATCAATCAGCCGCAGACTATCTGAGAACTCATCGAACATACACATTTTCAATAGCAAAAAAGCACCATACAACGAAGCACTAAAAGCAAGTGGTTACATACAACAACTACAATATATACATCCACAGCCAAAACGCAAAAACAGTAAGAGAAACATTATCTGGTTTAATCCTCCATATAACAAAACCATTAAAACGAACATAGGCAAGATATTCCTAAACTTAATAGAAAAACACTTCACTGAAACAAACAAATTATCAAAAATATTTAACAAAAATAACGTAAAGATCAGTTACAGCTGCACAAAAAACATAACAGAAATAATCAAAAGCCACAGCAAAAAAAAAATGACAACCAAAAAAAATGAAACCATGGATCCAATATGCAACTGCAGAAATAGAACAACATGTCCACTCCAGGGAAATTGCCAACTTACGAACACTATATACAAGGCCAAGGTAAGTGCAAACAACACCATAATGCACTACATCGGTGCCACCGAAGGCCCATTCAAGATGAGGAATAACAATTACAACATTTCATTCACCAACAGGAAATATTCGAACAGCACTACACTTTCTACATACATATGGCAGCAAAAAGACAAAAATATCACACCAACAATAAGTTGGGAAATATTGAAAAAAGCCCCTGCCTACAACAACATTACGAAAAAATGCCAACTTTGCCTACACGAAAAAGTAGCAATAATATCACACAAACCGCAAAAGAATTTACTAAACAAAAAATCAGAGATAATCTCCAAATGTAGGCATGAGAACAAGTACCTACTATCCGAATTCATACCAAACGGATAAAAAAGACAAACCAACAACAATCACAATGTAATTTCAAGATACCATCACAATAATTGCATATATCGTTATTATCATTGCACCACCATTAGTAATCACTTCTAACACTTTACAATAACTATTAACTAATAATATTATCATTACCACCAACACCCAATACCATCACTTACACATCACATCTACTATTAACATATAAATCCACTATAATCATTAACGTATATTACTCCACCAGCATATTTAATACCTTAAAACAATAAGATCAGATATAATTTCCACATGTAACCACGAGAATAAATATTCATCACCAGGATTCATACCAAAATAAATAAAAATAAACAAATAAATATAGAAAACAAAATAAAATAAAACACAAACAATCACTCTTTAGTTCAAGCTAGCACCACAATAATTACATTTATAGGTTTTTATTATTCTCCCACCAACATTACTAATCACTACTAACAATTTACAATAAATATTAACCACTTATATTATCATTGCCACCAACCCCTTTACACATTACTATCACATCACATCTACCATTACCATATAAACCCGCCATAATTTTTAACGTAAACTACCCCCTCTCCCAGCATATTTAATACCACCATAAAAATAACCAATAAGGATTACAAACTGAAATTTCTACCAGTCACATATACACAGTCATCAAAAAACTAAAAAAAAAAAAAACAGGGAAATAACCAGCTTTAATATAATAACAATGTTTTTTTGTAAATTAAAAATTATAGCAATCTTCAACTATCATAATTTTACACAGAATACCTATTATCAGGATTTATACCAAAATAAATTAATACACATAACAAAATGAAATATAACACCAACAACCACTTTTTAGTTCAAGCTACCACCGCTATAACTATATTTATGGTTTTATCATTCTCCCACCACCGTTACTAATCACTTCTACCAATTTACAATAACTATTAGCTAATTATATTATCATTGTCCCCAATCCCTTGCAACATTACTATCACATCACATCATATAGACCTGCTATAATTATTAACATAAACTACCCTCTCATCCAGCATATTAAATATCACCATATAAAATAACCAATAAGGATTACAAATTTCTACCTGTTACATATACACGGTCATCAAAGTCAAACAAATAACCAGCTTTAAATATAAGAAATAACCCCCCTTTTTTTCCAAAATTTAAAAATAAATATAAATAATTTATTTTTACCTATCATAATTTTACACAAACCCCACCACACGTATACACATACATGCGAGGAAATATTATTCAGTGGAAAAAGTAAAATATGACATGCATACATTCACGAGACATTCACGAAAATTTTCGCTACACTCCCAATCTTTGAATTTCAACATACAAATGCGTATGTATAGACACAACACCACCCGAATATATACATATGTCATATCCGAAACTGCCCACATATGTTTATATATGTATGAATCCCGACGGACGACCAAGTATGTATATGTGTCTGCGTACTCCATTAGACGTATGAACATACATCGATGTTTGCGTCAGTACGATGACACAACGACGACGTTTCCCCCACCACTCCCATAATAACACCAATACACGCAATCTACATAAACCCAAAATTAAAAAAAAATTAATCAGTTTGTCTGACGATCGCTAAAGCGTGAAACCCAGTGTCACAAACTCACATTTATCCAACCAAATATATATATATATATATATATATATATATATATATATATATATATATATATATAAATGAATATACATAGTATCCAACGTTCATAATTCTACTGGAGTTTCATGCAGTTAATACAGTCTTTTGCATTAACTGCATGAAACTTCAAGTAGTGTTATCGACGTTAGATATTATGTATATTCACTGATATATACTTATAGCTCTGTTTCATAACATTGAGCACTGTATTTATAACAGCTGTGGAATAAATATAACTATGTACGTGCAAGTATTTGTGCGTGTATGCTTATTTTATCCTACCCATTTCTATATATATATATATATATATATATATATATATAATATCCA